CACCTCGGTCTGTGGTTGCGCATAATTCTAAATTTAATCTCAATTGGAAAAGTAAGGCTGGCAGCCATCTTGGATTTTATCAATTCAAATATTAAATATTGCGACACCTTTTTTCCCCATCATCATCCATCGTGCGTCATCTGCCGTCTATCTTGTGTCAACAATTTACATTTTGGACTTTCAATAAAATGTTGCAGGAATGTTTCATGGTCATTTAAGGTGTTTTATCAAAACTGTGATTTTTAATACCCCTAGCGAGGGGTTAAGTTTTTTTTACTATAGTTTATATATTAGGGAGTTAACACTTTTAGGTACATTTTGCTTATTTCCAGTGGGATATAATTCAAATTATATAAAAAAAAAATTATGACCCTGACTCACCCCAAGGCCTGATGGTTATGGCAAAAAAGGATTATATTGGCTAAATTTTCAACAATCTTCTTCTTCAGACCTGCATTTTCTTTGAATCAAATACAGTCACCATATTCTCACAAATTGATAGTCCATGTAATAAAAAATATCTGTGTGGTTTCACTGAAGAATATGTGGTCTTTTGATTCTGCGAGATAAATGTTGGGGAGTATTTATCAGGTGTTGTTGTTTGACACCTTGGCAATAGTTAATAGCTCTCAAGTTAGACCGCAAAAATACCAAGAATATAACATTCACTTCATATAAAGTATATGCAGTAATCTGTATTTCATGACATAATTTCATTGTCAATATTGTACTTCAGGTACGTTCCAGGTCCAGGAATTGGATGTCCATGGGTTTGTAAGATTTCTTCAGCTTTGTATGGACCGTAACCTCACGGACAAAGGACAGTTTAAAGTTTGGGATACTGAGAGGTCTTCACTCCCTGTAAACTGGCTGGAGAAAGTCTGGTCTGAGCTGCCTGAATCATCTTTGGAGCACTTCAAGGATTTACACCTCGTGCCAGAGAAACATGGCAAGTACTACCACCTTCATAGACTCACAGGATTGTTTATTGTGAAGTCGTTCTGTTCACACTCCTTACCTGAGGCCATTTGTAGATCTATGGCTCATTTTTCTGTCACCGTTTTACCTGCCTTGCCTTCCTCTATGGCAGAGCATTCAGAAGTCACCAAGTACATACACATTCCAACACAAGATGACTTTCTGAACTTGCTCGATCGTCTGTACACAAATAATTATGCCTACTTACAGAGTTTCAACGCTTATGCTGACAAAGAAGAAAGATATTCATGGATGAAATATTTAGAATATTTGAACATTAGAAAATATGGAGAAATGTCTCTGGAACAGATGAAGATTTTCATAGAATTCGGAAACAGTGGCTACACTTCAATCAGCCAGGTGGATACACTAGCTCCACAGCTTGGGTATGACTTTCCTGTAAAATATCCCTGTCGTCTACTGTCCTCGTCAGATAGTTGTCAATGTAGGGTTGCGCAAAACCTTGGAGCTTCACAGCTAACAGAAGAAGCTGCTATGGAGAACATATTGTCTGTAAAATGGCATACATACTCTGACGATGACCAGAAGAAACTGATGATGTATTTTGTCAGAAAAATTCACCAGTTTAAAAGAAATCCTGTTTTGATGGGATTGGCAAGGGAAGTTAAATTTGTACAAACTTTTAAAAGAGGTTTACAGAAACCATCTGAACTGTACGACCCCTCTATCAAGCGATTGAGAGAATTGATAGGGGATGAGTCCATGTTTCCAGCAGGTCAATTTTCTTCATCAGAAATTCTGGTTGGATTACGTGATTTGGGACTACAATCGTCCAATCCATCAGGTAAGCTGATCTATAGCTGTATTAACAACTTGGACAGAAAAGTGAAGCAGGGACACTCATCAAACTTGGAACAAGCAGAGGCAGTGAACCATTTTCTATCACAACAGTTGGAACTTTTGAATCACTACTCATTGATGGACAAAAAATTCTTGGTGCCACAGAAGAGAACCTCTGTTTACCCCACCGCCTTACCATGGTGCAGAAGCACACATGAGCTGTGCGCACCACGAGAATGTCTCCTAGCAACCACACGGAATCAACGAATAGTTGGGTCTGTCATACCACTCGTTTCGGAAAAATCTTACAGTTATTTGAAGAATCCCTTCCAGTTACTTCATCCGCGGGTGACAGATGTGCTGAATCATCTGTTGCAAATCCAGCGAAATTACGAGGTAAAGTACAAACCTGACTTGCTACCATGTATCAATGAAGTATACAACTTTCTAGCGGAAGCTATTTCGACCAGCTCAGATATAGGAAGGGAGATACAAGATTTCTTTTCAAGAGAGCCTTTGGTTTGGACAGGGGAAACGTTTGTAGAGGTAACAGATGTTTACACTTCTCACAATCCCGGAGACATCCCCTTAGAGCCCTACATGTATTGTCTACCAAGAGAGTTTCTATCTATCAAACAATTCTTTGAGGCTATTGGCTGTCATGACAAGCAGACCGTCGACGTTCTTCGTATTGTACAGGGAAAAATCAAATATAAGCATGATGGGCAAACATGTGATTCTAAGAACGATGTGGGCAAAGACTTGAACATTACTGTGCAAATACTGACGAAATACAAACAGGATCCCAAATCTGTTGCACACCTGGATATTCTGTTTCCTGTCCATACAGGATCCGAGACAAGATTGCAGCTCATGTCTGCTTCCGAGTGTAGATACAGTAATGAAGAGTGGTTGAAAGTGATCGCAGAGGAGGAAGAAGAGACCATTTATTATGTACACGCTAACATTCCATCACATACTGCTCAGGCTCTTGGTGTTCGTTCACTGACAGAGGGCCTGCTGACCGATACAGAAGCAATAGAACCTTGTGGACAGCATGAAGACCTTACAAGAAGAATCAAAGGCCTGCTTGATGGTTATACGGATGGTTTATCTGTTCCAAAGGAGATTGTTCAAAATGCTGATGATGCCGGGGCCACAAAAGTTTGTTTTCTTTACGACGAACGTGAAAACATGGACGCACGAACACGACTGATAGATGAAAACATGTCTAGTTTCCAAGGTGCTGCTCTTTGGGCTTACAATAATAAGCAATTCACTGAGACTGATTTACGTAACATCACAAAACTCGGTGGAGCAACCAAACAGGAGGACGACACTAAAATCGGGAAATTTGGATTAGGGTTTTGCTCTGTGTACAATTTGACGGATGTCCCAAGCTTCATCACAGGCACTGATCTTGTCATTTTTGATCCTCACTACAGAAATTTAGGTCGTGCTGTTAAAGGGAAGGAACCAGGCATCAAAATCAACCTGAGAAGTTTGCAGAATCAGAGGCTTGTCAGAAGAATGAAAAATCAATTCAAACCGTTCAATAGAGTGTTTGGTTGTGATATGACCATGGGAGAAGACCTTCATTCATATGAAGGAACACTGTTTCGGCTTCCTTTAAGGACAAATGAACAAGCAGGGAAAAGTGAAATAAAGGACAGCGCCTACTCCAAGTCCGATATAAAGGAACTACTGCACATGCTGATGGAAAATGGTGGAAATATGTTGCTGTTTACACAAAATGTGACAAAAATAGAAGTGTATCACCTGCCAGCTAATGCCACAGATCCCAGCCAGAGCACTCTGATTTATACAGCTACCAAAAACATGATAGACTCAAATCATCAAAGCATACAGATTGCAGATACATTTAACGTCCTGAAAGAGGTATCGGCGCTGTATTCACCAGTCCAACACAGACAAGAACATGTACCCGAAGTACAAAAAATAATTCAAGCTGACATCAACATTCAAGTGGAAAAAGCTGCAGAACGCTTCATATCTTATACAGTGTCAGAGACGCGATCGTGCACTCGATGGATTATCGCCTATGCAACAGGCACTTCAAAAAGTCTGGAGATCTCAAAACAGGTCAAGGGTGTTTTATCTCTGGCAGGCGTCGCAACGCCAATCCAGATAAATGGATGTGTTGTCAAGTTAACGTTGTTGGGTAACATGCCATTTGGATTTTACAAAACGGGTCATTATTTCTCATTTCTTCCACTACCAATACAAACAGGACTGCCCGTACACATCAACGCTACATTTGCTGTAGCGCCAGATAGACGCTCAATTATGTGGGGAACAGAGGATGATAAGACTGAACTGTTTAAACCTCGGTGGAATCATTCACTAATGACTGACGCAGTTCCTAAAGCTTATGTCTGTCTTCTTGAGAGTTTGCACAATTACAACAGTGTCATTGATGAGGAATACATGAACATTTGGCCTATTTATCCAGCATGTTCAAGTGAACTGCAGCACATGCAGAAAGCATTTCTGACAACAATTGTTAAGGAAAACCCAAGAGTGTTTAAAAGACATGACATATGGGCAAGATATGAAGACTGTAGGTTTATGGATCCAGAACTTATTGAATCAGACGTGGGAGATATTGCCTTTAACGCATCAATTCGTTTCTTGGAAACCGAAAAGGACGACAGTACAAAAATTATGAGACTGCAAAAGAAGCTGGATGCCTCCTTCAGCACTGCTGGCCTTGAAAGTACCATCAAGACAAAAATATTTTCGACAGAGAATTTCTTCACAGAAGTGCTTTTTCCACACATGCTGTCAGATTTTTGGCAATCCAGCGAAAGAAACATGCTTGTTATGTTTGCTGTAGATAATATGACTGAGACGACTACCAAAAACCTGCTTCTAAACACAAAATGCATTCCTTCAGAACCGACAGGAGAATTAAAATGTCCAAATGACCTGATACATCCAGATAGTAAGCTAAATAATTTGTATACAGCATGTGAAGGACGGTTTGTACATGAGGAAATGATTAAAGCTGGCATCAGGAACAGAAAGGAACAGCTGGCAGACATCGGGATGATAGTTGAAACATTGCCATCACACTTGGTCGTTGACAGAGTGGAGAGTGTACTGGGTTTGTCACTGGAATGTGACAAGTGTGCAATAGAAAGGTCCGTCACCATTATTCAATACATCCAAAGAAAATGTATGTCTGATATTTTGCTTATTGAACAACTCAAAGACATACCATACCTACCAATTCTGAAGAAACCAAAGGACTGGACTTTCCTATGGGGAGCAGACTGTCAATTGTTTGATACCTATTTAACTACCACGAACAAAGTAAAAGTCGCCAACTGTGACCATGAGATTAAAGAAAATGTTCAGTTTGCAAACCCAAGATGTCTTTATCTGACCTCAACTCAACATCTGGTTGGTTCTCAGGAGCTTGTTATGGATGTGTCTTGCTACAAAGCAATGGTTTCTACTGAATTACTTTTCTCTTGTTTGGGCGTCCATGGAGAAGACCGTGATACCATTCCTATTGAAGTTGTTTGCGGTCATTTGATTCAACTTTGTGAAACCACTGACCCAGTTATGATGGCGGAGAAAACCAAACAGCTGCTCAAGACGATTTGCAATGAAGTTTACTCTTTCTTGAGTAAAAGAATATCCAACGAAACTTTTTCTGAAACGGAAATGAGCTACATTACTGATTTAAAAGAGCACCCTGTTGTTTTCTGCCACAATGTTTTTGTGAAACCAAAACAAACTGCACTCAGCATTTTAACTGATTGCGAACCTCATCTATTTGGATTGCGGACCCATCATCTTGGATCAAAATGCGAGCATCTGTTGCGTGTTCTTGATATCAAAGGCAAATTTACCACAGATGATATTTTAAATGTCATGTTGGAAAAGCAAACTTGTAAAGGAGAAGAGCAGCTGACAGAAGATGAATTGGAGCTCTACACCAAACTCATCAAAGTCTTAGTTAAGTGTATGGAACGTGAACAAATTAATTATCGTGGATTATGTACAATCACAGATGATGAGGGTGTTTCAACACAATTGTGTATTCCAGATGTGAAAGGTGTCCTGACACCAATCAATGAGTTGTGCTTGAATGACAATGAGAAAATTAAAACAACTGGTACAATGAAATTTGTAAATGGAAAAATTGGTCCAGATTTCGCCCGCACACATGGTGTAAAGGCCAAGACTAAACAACATTTCTCGGACAATACTAAAAAATTACCTTTCGGACAAAAAGAAGAATTGACTACAAGAATAAAAGAAATTTTAAGAGGCTATCCATGTGATGAAGGAATCATGAAAGAACTTCTGCAGAATGCTGATGACGCACAAGCAACAGAGCTTCAATTCATCATAGATGATAATACCTACCCTGACGAAAGAGTGTTTGATGATAAATGGAAAGCATTACAAGGCCCTGCTCTTCTTGTTTATAATGATAGTATGTTTAGTGCCAAGGATATTCAAGGAATCCAGGACCTTGGGATAGGCAGCAAAGGGGCCGACCCAACAAAAACTGGCCAGTACGGTGTGGGGTTCAATGCTGTGTACCATCTAACGGATGCACCCTCATTCGTCACAAAGGGTCCCAACGTTGAAGGAGGGGAAACAATGTGTGTCATGGACCCACACTGCCAATTTTTATCAGATGCTACTGAAGAACGACCTGGAATTCAGTTGATGAATCTAGATGAACACAGAGATTTATATCCAGACGTTTACAAGTGCTACCACGAAGACAAACTTTTGACAAGCAAAGGCACAGTTTTCAGATTCCCACTTCGAGCAGATGATAAAACAAGAAAGCATTTAGCAGAAACAATGCCATCCGAGAAGCTTCGGTACCTGCTGAAGACATTTGAGAGAGAACTGTTAGAAGCATTGCTTTTTGTTAATTCTGTTAAGAAGATTTCCCTGTCAGCCTTGACCAACTTTCAAGGTCACAGGGGTTGAAATATGTTAAGATCTTCAAACAACTTCTCAATAACCAAAAGGCCCAGGGTACTGATATTGGGCCTGTAGCATGCTGGGATGCAGTACTACCAAGTTACTACCAAGTACAAATGATGTCTTAAAATCTTCAAACAACTTCTTCTCAATAACCAAAAGGCCCAGGGAACTGAAATTCGGCCTGTAGCATGCTGGGATGATGGGCTACCAAGTTTGTTAAAATGAATGACCTTGACCAATTTTCAAGGTCACAGTGGTCAAATGCCGAAAAATCTTCAAGCGACTTCTTCTCAATAATCAAAAGGCCCAGGGTACTGAAATTCGGCCTGTAGCATGCTGGGATGAAGGATTAATAGGTTTGTTCAAATGAATGACCTTGACACACTTCCAAGGTCACTAGGGTCAGATGTCATAAAATCTTCAAAAAACTTCCTCTCAATAACCAAAAGGCCCAGGGTACTGATATTGGGCCTGTAGCATGCTGGGATGATGGGCTACCAAGTTTGTTCAAATGAATGACCTTGACCAGTTTCCAAGGTCACAGTGGTCAAATGTCGTAAAATCTTCAAACGACTTCTTCTCAATAAGCAAAAGGCCCAGGGTACTGAAATTCGGCCTGTAGCATGCTGGGATGAAGGGCTACCAAGTTAGTTCAAACGAATGACCTTGACCAACTTTCAAAGGTCAAAGGGGTCAAATGTCAAAATCTTCAAACAACTTCTTCTCAATAACCAAAAGGCCCAGGGTACTGATATTGGGCCTGTAGTATGCTGGGATGGAGGGCTACCAAGTTTGTTCAAATGAATGACCTTGAACAACTTTCAGGGTCACATGGGTCAAATGTCGTAAAATCTTCAAGCGACTTCTTTTCAATAAGCAAAAGGGCCAGGGTACTGAAATTTGGCCTGTAGCATGCTGGGATGAAGGACTACCATGTTAGTTCAAATGAATGACCTTGATCCACTTTCAACCTAATGTCCTTGTTCAACAACAAGGTCAGAGGCGTCATATGTTTAAATCTTTGAATAGGTTCTTATGAAATCTTAAGATTTCAAGTGTTAGATTAATAACTGGTGAGCGATGCAGGCCCATTGGGCCTCTTGTTTATAATGATATACACAAATACTGCAACAATAATATAATGCAGTATTGTTATGATGAGTAATTAACAAATAATGTAACGCGAGTTTCGTTAATGAAGAACAAATACTAGAATATAAGTTTAATTAAACTTTAAGACTGAAGCATATTTAAAATATATATATATACAAATGTTGAAGCATAAGTATAATTATACTTCTACACTGTAGCATTAATATAAATATACATAAAAATGAAGAAACATTAGCGTAATTATTTTCAAATATTTTAACATTTATATGATTATGCATAAATACTTTCATATGAAACATACTTTATCCTTTTTTCGCTTAAAATGCCATTTGTGATTTGAACAAAATTCTTTTTCATTTGAATAGTTTAAATAAAGATTTTGTGTTGATTAATCATAGAATTACTGTTTTCTTTTCAATTTCGGGTTTAATATCATTCAATAGTTATGAAAGAGTATTACGAAGAAAACATATATAAAAAGACATCAATAGAATAGGACAAAATCGGATTGGAACTTAATATCAATAGAAGACATGAACTAAAAAATAATTAACATGGAAACATTTGGACAAATATAGGGAGAACTGGACCAAGCGTTCCAGAAGGGCAAGCGTCTTCCGCTTCATCAACCATCACGTGATGCAAATCTAGCTCAAAACCAAGTAATGTCACGTCCTTAAAAGAGGGGCCTGTTGTTGTGGCAACTGAACCACCACAACGAATATTAAGGTGTTTATTAAAATACGTTGATATCCACTCATCTACTTTGAAACTGTTCATTTGGGCAAGAAAACCCAACTCCAGCTACATTGCCTCATCAGACGCAATCCTCAGAAATTTGGACCTTTGATAGTCTAATAGAATACATATCACCCCTGTGTGATGTATACAGAAAATATCAACCCCATCATAAGATTTTTGAGTTAAGCACCAGGTTTTGCCGAGCACTTAAAATTAGACAATAACTTATCACGTATCGTAAAACATGTAATAACCAAATACACAATGCATATGTGTCACAAAATTTATGACAAAACTAAGTTGTGATAATGCTACGTTGCAATATCTCGTGCTTGTGAGCTGTCGTTCCCTAGGTATACAAAGTAAGATATTTCTTTTCCCAACTAAGAACCCGCAGATTAGGTGTGAGAGACTACATAGGTTCCTTTCGTTAAAACGCTTACCGGTCACTAACAGACACATTTGGGCCACTAGGGGCTTTGACATCCTGTCAATAAGTTCAAAGATCTGGCGTTAACAATTTTCACCGACAGGATTGAAACAAGATGAGGGATTCATTCCAAGTGATGTAATGTCTCTATTAATGCACTTATTGGTGATACAGTTGGATGTAGGAACACGAATCACCTCTAGATCCACGATATCCTAGAATTTGTACTGACCACTATATTTCAGCAGTTTTTGGTAGGGAAGTGCCATTGTCCTACTAGACAGCAAAACAATCTTTTGTGAAGGATATGTTGACATACTAGAATTATTTGATTTAAAAACACTACTCAGAAGAGATAATTAGGAGATGGGAATAGATATCAAAGTGTTAACAAATTCATTTCAACTCAAAACCGATGAAACTTGAGCAAAATGTATCGCATATTGCAAAGGATGATGCCCGCCTAAAATTTATCTAATATAAGCACCAGCTGAATATGTACTAAATATAGACAACAATGACACAGCACCATCTGAATATGTACTAAATATAGACAACAATGACACAGCACTAGCCTAAAATGTACCAAATATACATGTAGAAACTAATGACACATCGCTAGCCTAAAATGTACCAAATATACATGTAGAAACTAATAACACATCGCCTGCCTAAAATGTACCAAATATAGGCATCAATGACACATCGGCCGCCTAAAATGTATTAAATGTAGCCATCAATGACACATCGCCCGCCTAAAATGTACCAAATATAGGCTCCAATGACACATCGACAACCTTAAATGTACCAAATATAGGCATCAATGACACATCGACAACCTTAAATGTACCAAAGTTAGGCATCAATGACACATCGACAACCTTAAATGTACCAAATATAGGCATCAATGACACATCGCCCACCTAAAATGTACCAAATATAGGCATCAATGACACATCGACAACCTTAAATGTACCAAATTTAGGCATCAATGACACATCGACAACCTTAAATGTACCAAATATAGGCATCAATGACACATCGCCCACCTAAAATGTACCAAATATAGGCACCAATGTCACATCGACTGTCTAAAATGTACCAAATATAGGCACCAATGACACATCGCCAGTCTAAAATGTACCAAATATAGGCACCAATGACACATTGCCCGCCGAAAATGTACCAGATATAGGCAACTTTTCATGACCCTGCATCCGGTTGTCCGAATATCTCGTCCTATTCTTTTTTTTCTTGTTTTGCATGAAAATATCACAATTGATTTTTATTGCGTAATAATAAACACACGTAAAAGACTTATAACTGTTGTTTGATTGTTTTAATCCATTCGTTTTTAAACATTCCTGTTTTAGTTAAAATAATATACTTCCAATATTAATTCTTTTATCCAAAGTAATACAGAAAATGCAGAGGTTTTTCTGAAGTCTCTGAAAGATTCAGAAGAGGTTTTTCTGAAGTCTCTGAAAGATTCAACTGAGTTGCATAAAAGACTCGCTGCGACCGATGCCTTCACATTGACATTTTTTTTTATTTTTTATTTTTATTGCAAGTCATTAAGGATATTATCCATAAAAAGAAGTAAAAAAGGACAAATTATAGCCAAATTTTGGACGATCCAATAGCTTTGGTGCAATCTTGTCATTAAAGGTCTCATTCAATATTGCTTGGTCGTGTTTCATCATTCTTTTGTACACCATCATGACAGTTATTGCAACATTCTCATCATTCATTCCAGGTGCAGCAGCTGCGACCTTACTGCTGTTAACACATTAACGACTTGCGGAGAATTGATTAGATTCTAACAAAGAGGCCCATGGGCCTTAACGGTCACCAGATCTATTTATACAGAGAGTTGATTTTGTTTTTAACATGAACAGAAATATTATTCAAAGTGACAAAAAACAATAAAACCACCTTATTCAATATCTAGCATACAGATTTGACTGAAAAGTATTTGAAACTAGCACCTCTGATTCTAAACAAGGAAAATGAAGAAATTTTAGCACACTGACTCCTTTGGGGCCCACCCTACAGCCCTTGGGGGTAGGGCTGGCTCAAAATTTTCAAAGTATCAAACTGTCAACTCAGGGTTATAGTTCCAATCAAGTTATTAACATGTAGTATTCAAAGTATCATTTGCAATTATACACCATAATAAATTTTGTCCCCCTCCCCCTCCTTCCCCAGGGGGAAAACGTGAGACCCTAGGGTCATAAACCTTAAGACCCTTCCATCTATGAAGAGTGTTTGATTCCACCATATCTGGGTCTTTGAGAAGAAGATTTTTGAAATTTCAGTCAATTCAACCCTTTTTGACCCCACCAATCAGCCCATGGGGGTCAGTCAGGGTTCATATGTGCATACTTTCAAACTGCTACCTAATACTTATAATGCTTACCTAAATTGAATTACTTCCAATGGAAATTTAACAAATGTTGGTCCAAAATGTGATTTCCCTATATAACCTATAGTAAAGTTTACCCCCTCCCCAGATGGAAACGTGAGACCCCAGGGTCAAGAAATTCACAATTTTGTTAAAACACCGGAAGACCCTTCTATCTATGAAGAGAATTTGATTCTACCATATCTGGGTCTTGAGAAGAAGATTTTTGAAATTTCAGTCAATTCAACCCTTTTTGGCCCCACCCATCAGCCCCAGGTGGTCAGTCAGGGCTTATATGTGCATACCATCAAACTGCTATCCAATACTGATAATGCTTACCCAAATTGAATTACTTCTAATGGAAATTAAACAAATGTTGGTCCAAAATGTGATTTTCCTAAATAAACTCTAGTAAAGTTTACCCCATTCCCAGGGGGAAACGTGAGACC